CCGAAGCCTACTCTTATCGATTTTAGACCACCAAGTGATATTTTACATGCGCAACTTGCACACGGGACCTCCAAGATTTTTCGCCCTTGTCCGAGAAGGCAAGGTGTAGATCTTTCCTACCAGAAGATCAGGGGTGTGGCTGAAAGACAGCAGTAAGGAGGGGCCAAGGAGTAGCAGTAGAAAGGCTGCAGAAAGAGTCAGAAGCCTAGAGGAGGGGGCAAAGTGGGTGAGGGGGTGGGGGCAGAAAGTGGAGACGAAAGCAGACGACAGAACATTGCCAGAGAGCAGGAAAGGAGGTGAAAGGAGACAGTTTTAGAGAATTTGTTTCGGTCCCTACCCGGATTCAAACCCGGGACCTTTGAATGAGAGGCGAACACTTTAATCTCTCGGCCACGAGAGCCCCCTCTATGGTTTCCCTCAAGTATTTACCTCGTCACGATTTTCTGTTGGTCAGACAAACTACAGTCAAACTTGCTCTAACGGCCACCTGTACAAGACAATCACCTGTACAAATGGTCACCTGTACAAGACAATCACCTGTACAAATGGTCACATGTACAAGACAATCACCTGCTCTAACGGCCACATGTATAAGACAATCACCTGTACTAAACGGCCACCTGTACAAACGGTCACCTGTAAAAGACAATCACCTTCTCTAACGGCCACCTATATAAGACAATCACCTGTACAAACGACCACCTGTACAAGACACTCACCTGTACAAACGACCACCTGTACAAGACAATCACCTGTACAAACGACCTCCTGTACAAGACAATCACCTGTACAAACAGCCACCTGTACAAGACAATCACCTGCCCTAACGGCAATCTGTACAAGACAATCACCTGTTATAACAACCACTCCCCGTTAGCCCGGTTCACGGTTTGTGTCTGTAAACATTCCAGTGCCCCTGTGTGAGATGAGCACCTGCCCAAGACGGCCTCTCTCCTCCCCGACAATGCGCGGCTGTCTTGGACAATGTCCGGAGTGTATCATGTCTCCCCCCTCCCTGTACCAAGCACCGGTCAGCTCGACGATGTCCGGCATAGTCCGGCATTCCAGGCGGGCCCCGGGCAGTCATCACATTCCGATTAGAGCAGTTGCGATGTCCGATTAGAGCAGTTGCGATGTCCGATTAGAGCAGTTGCGATGTCCGATTGGAGCAGTTGCGATGTCCGATTAGAGCAGTTGCGATGTGACCGCGGGGTGAGAGGGCAGAGGCCGTAATTCTCTATGACAACTGCGATAATTAGCCGCGCTTATGAGCTGCGCTGACACAGTGTGTGTGTGTGTGTGTGTGTGTGTGTGTGCTTTGGTGTGTACTTATATGTGTTCATATGGGTCGTGTAGTCAGGGCCACATCGTATCCGAGTTAGGGGTTTGTTGTTGTTGCTGTTGTTGTTGTTGTTGTTGTTGTTGTTGTTGTTGTTGTTGTTGTTGTTGTTGTTGATGCTGTTGTTGTTGGTGGTGTTGTTGTTGTTGTTGGTGGTGTTGTTGTTGTTGGTGGTGTTGTTGTTGTTGGTGGTGGTGGTGGGTTTTTTCTGGTCCGCTTG